TTTCGCAAATGGCGAAACACGAAACCTAAATCCGGCGAAACACGAAACTGGCGAAACTAAGACGAATGGCGAAACCCCTGGCGAATGGCGAAACCCCCAGAGAAAAACGAAGCTCAAGCTCTCAGCAAGTTTAATTCTCTAAGGCTTTGGAAAAGACTAAGCCATGTTGGAGAATGAAATATTGTATGTATCTATTAAGCATTGTATGCGTGCATATGATTCATATAAAATATATGTACATATGCATGTGGCTATTAAGCACAACATGTGGCTCATACAAAGAAGCCAGAATTCCATTATCCGTTTATCCATTTATCTATCGGATACCAAGGATCTGAATTTATTCGGATATCTGTTTTACTATTGATATCCGAATAAGATATCCTCATAAATTCAGATACGGATAAATGGATGGCGGATTTATCCGGATTGGAACTCTAAATCAAATCAACTCTAAAAATTCTAAGCCTGAAATCTTTTAATGTTTTGTTGTCTAAACTTTAAGTACCATACACATGTAAGTGGTTTATTAATATTATTATTACTTACAATTATTTCTAGGTACAAGAGGAATTCCAAAAATTAGAGGTTCTGATATGGTATAGGCATTGAAAAGGGTGAAACTAAGGCACTTATTCATTATCAAAAATCTGCTGAAATGGGAAATGAAGTGCAATGAATAATATTGGTGGCTGTTATAAAAACAGAATAGGAGTTAAAAAGGATGAAAATAAGCTATTTATTCATTATCAAAAATCTGCTGAAATGGGAAATGCAACTGCAATATATAATGTTACCAAAATGGAATAGGAGTTAAAAAGGATGAAAATGAGGCATTTATTAATTATCAAAAATCTGTTGAAATGGGAAATACAAGTATGATAAATCAAGTTGGATTTTGTTATTAACATGGAATAGGTGTTGAAAAGGATGAAAATAAGACATTTATTTATTATCAAAAATCTGTTGAAATAGAAGATGCAGATGCAATATATACCACTGGATGCTGCTATGAAGATGGAATAGGAGTTGAAAAGAATGAAAATAAGGCATTTATTTATTATCAAAAAATCTGCTGAAATGGGTGATGCTAATGCAATAAGTCAAGTTGGATATTGTTATCAAAATGGAATAGGAGTTGAAAAGGATCAAAATAAGACATTTATTCATTATCAAAAATTTGCTGAAATGGGAAATACAAGTGCAATAAACCAAGTTGAACATTGCTTATATTAATGGAATAGGGATTAAAAGAATGAACAAGAGGCATTTACTTACTATCATACAGGATTTGTAAATCAAGTTTGTACAAACAGACAGACAAATTCATACGAGCAGACAGTCAAATTCATATGGGTAGACAGTAAAATTTGTACAAGCAGACAGTCAAATTCATACAAGTAGACAGTCAAATTCATACAAACTAACAGTTAAATTCATACAAAATTTGACAAACAAATTCATACAAACTGACAACCAAATTTATACAAGTTGACAACCAAATTTATACAAGTTTATAGATTTATTGACATTGGTAAATAAGATATGAAAATGTGTTTGCTACATAGTAAAAGAGCATTATAGATTGCTTGCATAGTTTTAGGTCATGGTTATACTTTTATAGACATTACTCAAAATCTGGATGAAGTGCAAGATTCCTGGAATTATTATATATGTGGGTCATTTTATTATTTTCAGTTCAAGTTTTTTCTTGCTGGCACTTATATATATCTAAATATTTTTCAACATAGGTTAATCTATAGCAATTCTAAATTGAAACCCTTTTGTAATATATTTTATTATAGTATAGCATATTAGATAAGCCTATTATTTAATAAATTACCAACATGAGTATGAAGTCTAATTTTGTTCACTTTATCATTTGTATTTCAAAAAAATATATGATTAACTATAATCATTTAATTGTTCAATAAATTACCAGCATGAGTATGAAGTCTAATTCTGTTCACTTTATCATTTGTGTTTCAAGAGAATATATGATTAAGCATAATCATTTAATCATTCAATAAATTACTAATGTGAGTATGAGGTTTAATTCTGTTTACTTTATCATTTGTGTTTCAAGAGAATATATGATTAACTATAATAATTTAATCATTCAATAAATTACTAAAGTAATTATAATATTTAATTCTGTTCACTTTATCATTTGTGTTTCAAGAGGATATATAATCAATCAAAATCATGTAATCATTCAATAAATTACCAGAATAATTATGATATTTAAGTTTATTCACTTTATTGTTTATGTTTCAAGAAGATGTATGATTAACTATAATTATTTAATCATTCAATAAATTACTAATGTAATTATGATGTTTAATTCTGTTCATTTTATTGTTTGTGTTTCAAGAGGATGTATGATTAACTGTAATTATTTAACTATTCAATAAATTACCAAAGTAATTATTATGTTTAATTCTGTTCACTTTATCATTTGTGTTTCAAGAAGATGTATGATTAACTGTAATTATTTAATTATTCAATAAATTACTAGGGTAATTATGATATTTAATTCTGTTCACTTTATTGTTTGTGTTTCAAGAGAATATATAATTAACTGTAATTATTTAATTGTTTGATAAATTACTAGTAATAAGCATAATATGTTTCTTCAGCATTACCATCTGCAGAATTTTAATAATAAAATAAATCTCTATGTTCATTAACAATATCTGGCATTATACTATATGCTTTATTAATGTCATCAGTCTTTATAAATTTTTGATACTGATTTTGAAATAAGTTCCTATATCTTATAAATGTTTGCTTTGTTATAGGAATTTACTAATCATTTTCTTTTAAGGTTTGTTTTACAATAATAAGTAAATTCGGTCCAAATAATTCAAAAATGAGACATCTATAATTATTAAAATTATAATAGGTAAGGTAAGTATTCCTATTTTGACGCAGCTAATCTTTCACAATAGCAAGTCTTTATTGAATTGGTATAAAACACCTGAATTTCTTTTGAATTTGATTTATTTCGGTTTAAAGTAAGCATTTGTATAAAATAATTTTTTTCAAATAAAAAAAAAGTAAATCCTAATTATGGTAACATAGATCCTTTCAAAATCACGATCATCAAGAGATCGCCCTAATTTGATGCACTGAAATAAGGTTGGTAATTTTTTTTTTTTTTAAATCGATTTATATTTACTTTTCCGCCCCTATACACTCCATATTTTTTTTTTTCCTCTGTGCTTCTTGCTTCTGTGCCTTTTCAGCTTCACGTACTGTTTACTTTTGAATGGCCACTTCTTTTTTATGTTGCTTCTCGTTAACCATTCTTTCAGCCTCCTCCTCCGCTTCTTTTAATTGTTTTAATGATTCTTCGTTGGTCAAAAGCTGAGAAAAGGGCATAGTTTTCTTTTTTTTTTTTTTTGGAGGTTGGGCTCCAGATTGCTCCTTGTTATCTTCTGGATCTTCAGTTGGTAGGTTGGGGCGCAAGGGATATTTAAGTATCTTCCACAAAGGACTGGTACCAGGGTTATTGAGGGTTTCAAGTTCTTCTTCCAATCGTTCAACCCTCTTATTTAGCAATCTAATTTCTGACAATAGTTCTTTTTTAGTAGGGTTTGCTTTGGTGAGGCGTGTATAAGTTGGAGCTAACTCTGAAGTTTGTGAAGACAAGGAAGATTGTGATAAAGATGAGGAAGACTGTGATGATGATAAAGGTGAAGACGAGGAGGACTGTGATGATGATAATGAAGATGAGGAAGCTGATTGATCAAGGACTTGTAGAATATTGGTATGTAATGAAGGATCTAGACGATCAGGACCAATTGCACTGGGGTTTAATGGCCAAATTCCAGTGGTCTTGAAGGCATTGCATATTGCAGTAGGCATATAGGCTGCAATATATAATGGTCCTAATAATTCAGCGAAGTGTACTTTGTTACAACCTTACCATTGTTGTTAGTTCAAAACCTCTCACACTCTTTATCATATGCTTTCTTTAATGTAGCAAATGGTAATTCGGCTGGCTGTAGAATGTGAGTGGTATAGAGAGGAAGAGCATAAAGAAGGATATCATGCTCATAAAAAATTAACACTAATGTAGTTGACATGACTTTTGTGACCGTCTAGAATTAACAAAACAGGATGTATAGGTGGGATAGAACTAACAAAATACTCAATATATTTTTGAAATAGGCTTTCACGCATATATCCTGTTTCAGTAAATCCCATGACAAAACCAGTGGGTGCACTGTTTAGAAGACCTGGAATCATTCGTTTTCCTTTAAAAATAAGCAATGGTGGGATGTATGTCCCCGCTGCTGATATAGTTGGGCATACTGAAATATGCTCATGAGAGCTGCTATATGAAACCTGATGGACTTGGCGTGCTCCTTTTTTTGCTATAACTTTTTGGAGCCTAGGTTTATGATAAACCTGGTTTCGTCCTAAAAAAAAAAAAAAAGGCTGAAATACAAAATAATTTAAAAAAAAAAAGGAAAGCAAAAAAAAAAAAAAAAAAAAAAAAAAAAAAAAAAAAAAAAAAAAGGGGAAAAAAAAAAAAAAAAAAAAAAAAAAAAAAAAAAAAAAAAAAAAAAAACAAAAAAAAAAAAAAAAAAAAAAAAAAAAAAAAAAAAAAAAAAAAAAAAAAAAAAAAAAAAAAAAAAAAAAAAAAAAATAAAGAAAAAAAAAAGGGTGAATAAAAAAAAAAAATAAAAAAAAATAGCACCATATTTCAGATTCTGTCCACAGTAAGTTCATATTCTTGAATGATTTTTTGAAGCTTGTTAAAGTGGTCATTAATAATAATAGTGTTTGCCTTCTGTGCACAGGCCTCATTCAGAGCTTGTGGAACACGAAATGAAAGTTCCGGATGGTTTTTCAGGAAGAGCCGCCATTATTTTTGACCTGGTCCACTTTTCTTAAAAGGATGGGGTCACTTGTCCCAACAAACAATATCTATCATGCACTGGCTTACACCAGACCTTGTTAACCCAAAGCCGAGCCTCTGCATATTTAAACAATAACCAACTAGCTGTTCCTCTTCATGGTTGGTTAGGATCTTAGCATGGCCTGGGCGGAGAAGAGGACCATCATTTTTATGGCACGCCTAAGGGTAGCTTCAGAAATATCATAGTCCCGTGCAATACTTCTGGTGCTTAGAATTTTAAATCTACTTGGGGTACTCTTAAGTGTCTGAAGGGCATTATTAATAGCATCATGTCAGGTATTATAATCACTGTACTTTGTTATAGTTTTATTTTTAATAATAAACTAGTTTTTTGTTTTTATCGCAATATGAAAGTTTAATAGTTTATAATTATTGGGTTCAACGTTTTTATAACTATTGGGTTCAATGTTTTTATTACATTTAACAAGCTGTTTCGAGATTGCTATGTAGCATTACATGTGCTAATTTGTAAATATTTACATGATCGAAAACCATTGATCCGAAGTAAAGTTTAATTTTACATTTCTTTTAAGATCGCGCAATTAAAAAACAAAACTTTATTGCTTATTGCGATAATAATTTATATAGAGCTTATTAGAAATAACTTTATTTAATATATGCATGTCAGTTATTTAGTATGAAAGGCTGATTTCAATGTGTTAAGGTTACCTCTTCCAGAACTCATGAATCTATCCGGGCAAGAAAAGTAATGTAGATCACTTAAATGATAATATCTTATGTTCTAGTAATTGGAATCACATAATTTTGGTTTCATTTGACTCATCTCGTTAAGACAAATCAAATGGTACTGAAATCATGTGATTCCAATCACCGGAATGTGAGATATCGTTAATGTGTCAAATTGAGCACTATGTCAAAATAGGAATACTTACCTTAATCAATAAAATGTTAATAGATATAAATAATAAATACAGCATATTACAGAAAATAAGCAACTCTAGTTGTTGAAACTGAAATTTTAATAAAGCTCATGTTTTACTAATAAAATTGGACCTGAATATAAGCAACATTTTCACTTTGGCTTAAAAAAGGTTTCATCTTTTGCAACATTTTAATTACTTATTTTTAGTAATATATGATATATACTGATCAAGATACTTTATTGTCATAAAAAGAATTTCATCTGATTGGCTAATAAATTCAATTTAATTTTATATCATTTATACAGTTTAGAGTACTTTTTAAAAAAATAAAAACCAATCATAATAAAGTAAAAAAAAAAACATATAGAAGGTTTTATTAGAATTGTAGGACTCTATAGTCAAAAATAAGCTCTAATTTTCATCTGTTTAAAAAAATTAGCTTTGTAATAAGTTGATTTTATCAGGTTTTGAGAAGTTATTTCTATATTAACTTTTTAACAGAGGAGAATTAGATCTTATTTTCAGCTATAAAGTCCTATAGCTCTAATAAAACCTTCTTTATATTTTTTTTTACTTTATTGTGGTTGGTTTTTATTTTTTAAAAAAGTACTCTAAACTGTATAAATAATGTAAAATTAAATTGCATTTATTAGCCAATCAGACAAACTTTTGTCTATAAACTTTATCATATGTAGAGATACAATCTGTTACCTGGATTAGAGATTTTATTCAGACTAAAATTTTTAGAAAACTTTTTTTTTATTGTTATTCATATGTGATCATTGGTCAATCAAATTACTTTCTATGCAAAGTCATTCAATAGCATAATTAGGATTGTTATTAGTAATTTACTATAATAAGTTACTATGATAAATTATCATAAGTTACCATAAATACTTATTTGAAAGTCTGTACATTATCAGAAAATTTCATAATGATAGATAATTTATAGTGAAATTAATAGATATGAATTACAAAAATTTTCGGAATAAAGTATGGATTACTTCTACAGTAACTTACTAGTAACTTATATTTGTTCTTTTCAAGTTTGATTTCATAATGATAACAATACTGATATTATAAGTCCATTAGAAACATTCATTTTTTATACTTTTTAGCTCAAAATTTATTATTATGACAGTAATTAGCATTATATGTCCTATCAGTGTTACCTATTTGCAGATTTTAAATAATAAATAAAGTTTATACTCATCATCCTTGATAATACCTAGCATTATGAGTTCCATCAGTGTCATACATTTTTTTAAGTTCAATTTTAAGATAACAATATCTGGTATTATATGTTCTATTAGTGACATCTATCTTCAAATTTGATTATAAATAAATGCCCTATATTCATCTTTTTCAACTCAAGTTTCACGATAATAACAATATTATGCATTATATGTTCCATTAGTTGCACCTATCTTCAGATTTTTGACAATAAATGAATGTTTTAATAAAAATATCTGATATTATATTTTTTTAGTATAAATTCTTTATTAGTCTTAGATTTATTAATTTAAACAATACAATGTTGTGGATTATTTTTTTAGCAATAGATTGTTAAATACTAGTATATAGTTACAGTAAGATTTATAAATAAAACATCTGTACTATATTGATGTATATATAAATAAATAATATCACATAATTGTTATGATAAATATTATCATATATTATATAATATTTATAGATTAGGGGAACCAAAAAACTCTTTCTGCAAATCCATTACACAAAAATTAACTAAAAAATCATTCGTCTAAAAACACTTATATCTTTTTATTTTACTAAAACAATCTGTCCTGGCATCTTAAGTAAACTTGTTTAGCTCATCAATTTACATATATCTTGAAAATCTTATAAATTTATCTCTTAAACTTATAGAGAAAACTGTACTGACGGCCTTTGGCCTCCAGTTTTAAAATTTTAATCCTTTTGCAATTTCTACTGCAATAACTTATCTTATATCTTTAATTAAAGTTGTAGTATAGGGACCAATTCTGTAACTCTCTTTGTAGATCACTTGTACCAAATTTTGCTAAAAAACATTTAATTATTTCTCAAAATTTTACTAAATAAACCTTACTTGTACTCTTAAGCAAATTTGTTGAGCTCACCTTTCTCCATCTAGGCAGCTAAGTTTCAAGTTCCAACAACACTTGGCTACCAAGAAAGTTCCAAAAACCAAATTTTGGTTTTTGCTCATTTACTATATTTTTTACTAAGCTAACATATTTTAACCCTTAGTAGAAAAATATCAAGCACCTCAAGCCGGTCATTTTGATATATAACATATTTTAAACAAACCAAAACTCACCAAGATACAAACAAAAAGGTGAAAACTAAAACCTGTCTTTGCAGGCTTTTTCATTGGCATTTTAGGAAAAACTGCAGGGGTGCCCCAGAAATTTCACTTTCCTGGTACCCATTAAATTTTCCTAAACATCCAATTAGCTCCTACAAATATACTACAATCAACAAATCACTCCTAAATAATCTAATAGCTCTTAAAATTAGGAAATTTTTCTTAAAATTAATATTACACAAATAATTTATACTATCTAAATTCTATATCTATTATCAAAAAAGATAGTTACACACAATGTCAAGTATTATTACTATTGAACCCGACTTTTTTGACTTCGATAATTATATCACCAAACACAATAACAGTTTCGGCACTATTACCCATGATAGTAATATACGAACCCTTAAAATTTTACCTACCAATTTTAATTCTACATTATGTAACTTTCAAAATAACTTCCATTTTTTGTATTAAAACTACTGAACCTGTAATCACTACCTGTCTCTGCAAAAAATATTACATATACTTTGGCTCTTAACATATTACTATCCTAGTACATCCACAATCGATTTCCAAAAATACTCCAAACTCATCTAACTCTATGGAAATTGATTTCGATATGAAATTATTCAAGTTTCTCAAAAGCCTTTCAAGATCCAAATTCCAGCCAAAACATAAAATCACTTATCTATTCCCTACCTTCTGTGGTGATATTAGAAAAACCTCTACAACTTCTGTTCTTTTCAAACCATACTCACATCATGTATATACTTGCATTATATACAAAATCAAGAATATACAATGTATTATTCTGAAAGACAGCAAACACTCTTTAGACCCACAAGCTTTAACCTTTGTAACTAGCTAAGGAAGCTTTCCTGCTCATACAACATGTATTTATTCTCTTAAACTAAAATACCCAACTCCTTCAACATCTATAAACTGGGAACAACACAATCTATATTGTAAAATCAAATGCTGGCAATTATCAGCAGAAGAAAAACGAATACTTTTTAAAAAATTTTTTACAAAATTATCCAAGAAAGCCAAAATCATAAATAATTCTAAGAAAAACAAACAAACAAAACCAACATAATCTAAAAAAACCCAAATAATAACGATCAAAAACAAAATGATAAACATAAAGAAAAAGAAACTACTTAAAAATGTGACACAATAAATGACCTTAACTGGTTCCTAAACTATCCTATTATTTCTGAAATGCAACAACATAATAAATTGAGCATACTACTAGCTTTACAAGCTTCTCACTTCTAAAATCACATCTTATAAACTTCAATCTAGATCAACCAATCTCAACCAAACCAACTGACACAAAACCAAATACAGACCTCCTGCTAAATATTCATTTAACTATATACTTAACAAAATAGCTAGTAGCAAACCCAAATTTCTAACTGACTTTA